GTCCAACTGGCATAGGCAGTTATGACCCAAGGATAGCTTCAGATAAAAGTTTGGCATGGAAGAATATTGCTTTTTTTTAAGGATATGTTTATACCATATTCTCCCCAAAACCTTGCCTTCCCAAAACCTTGCCAGTTTTGTGGCATATAACTACACAAGTAAAGCTGATGTTTTTTTGACTCCACTCCTGTAACTTACCTACCTGAGACAAGCTCTGATATTTGATAGCTACACAAAAGACAATGAGTTCTGATTTACATGTGCTGCTGGAAAATTTACTTACTGGGAATTCTGGGCAGTCAGTCTACAGTTTAATCAAAGCATATTGTTGTGATTTACAATGCAGCATTAACATTTCACCTGCTCTTTGGGAACTATTCTGATGTGCCAAAACTACTCAGAAAACTGCTGGTGGTGGTATGGTTGAAATGAAGCCCTAGCCATGTAAGAATGCTATTTCTCATGTGTTTTCCTCCATTCCTAGCATCCTTGTTAAGTCACTCTACTATCAATTTTTGTTAAAAGACAGGGGAAATGTCAGGTTTAAATGTTACAAATCAACAAATATTTAATGTGTATTACAGTATTGATATTATATATTAGGCAATTTGTTGTTGATAGATGTGGGCTTGATTCTCATTCAGATTGATTAGCCTTGCTAAATTTTAATAATCCTTTTTAAATACTCATTTTATAAGCTTTTGTTTGCAAATAACATCTTATTTAATACAAGTAGTATAATTTAAAAATAAGTGAACAACTAAAGGCAAATGAAATAGGAATTTTTAAAAATAGTTTCCTCTAATATATTTGCTTCCCCCCCCCCCCATTGCATCCATACAGACTCTGTAGCTGAGATGTGTTTGAATACTAGTAGCTTGGGTTGGTAGCTGGGCTGTTGGTTTGGTCATATACCAAATCCAGTGCAACAACTGTGAAAAGAACTATGTGGGCCAAACAGGAAAAACATTATCTACCAGACTGCACAAGCACTCCCTGGCTCTCAAAAGACATGACCCATTGTCCCTCATGTCTGTCCACGAGGATTCGGAAGGACACAAGTTTGATCTAACTAGGACCGCAATTATAACCTAAGCAAAGTCAAGGAGAGAAAGAGAATTCCTCAAGGCCTGGTTCTCCACCAACCAATCAATGAACAGACACATTGATATTGACCCCGCCTACCAACCACTGACAGCAAGAGAGCTACTTCAATTGAAATACCGGAAGCAACATTCTAAACAAATCGAACACAATGCAAATTGCACTGAAGATGTCCCCCCCACAACAGAGATCAAACGTTTGCAACCTAATTACCAAGCCCGGAGAACAAACCAACAGCCCAGACTCTGTAGTTTTTGAGTTTTATGAACTAGTTCTCAGAAATAATACAAATTTTACCAATAATATGTGAAGTGCCATTCCTGTGTTAAGATAAAGAAAGGGCAAAACCATCTGTTTCAGACCCATAGTACTATCTGCATTTAATGTCTGTATTGTGTTGGCACAGATCTTTCCTTTCATTGAAGAAACAAAGTATCAAGACAAAACATAACAAAATTACAATGTTCAAAAGAAAAACTAAACCAGGACAAAAGCAAATTTTTTTTTAAAAAAGGAAAGCTATTCTAGGATATTCTAAAAATAAGCACAATCAACATTTGAAACATTTTTTCTAAAAAACTCACTTTCACCATGTGCATTTGCAAACATACCTTCTCAAAAGGATTGTACTATTTGGGTTGTGTTATTTATATAAATACATTCTTCAAACCATCAGATGAACTAGACCTTTTGAGAAATATAAAGAACACCAGACAGTTACAATCTGATTTATACAGACTGTATATTGAGATACAGATCACAACAGTTCACCAAGCAATTCCTCCTATGCTCTATTCTGGATTATAGCTGAAGCTGACTGTAGCAACTGCACTCAGAGAAGTAGTGCATAGGACAATGGCTTCTACAGCCTTTGGCCAGTTTGCTAAAGGCCTTGCTAGCTATATAGGGAAGATATTTGTGGAGACCTTGATATGCAACACTATTTATTAAATGAAATGGGCTTTGTTTAAATTACTCTATATCTCTGATTCAGCATTATGATACTTAAACTAACGTTCTTAATTCTTCTAAAAAGAAATAAAAAATGGTAGTATGGGAAGATACAATTTCCAGATATCCATTTAATAAATAAACCACATTGTCATGAAGATTATTTTACAGTACACAAATAAATAAATCTCCTGCACAATCTCACTGCTAGGGCAAATATTATGCGTCTTCAAGTCATTTCCAATTGTTAGCAACCAGATAAACCTTTTCCAGAAACCTGTAAGATAGGGAGAGGCGGAACCTGGGGGCAGAATCAAAAGAGGGATCAGCCTAGAATCTCTACAAAGCCACAAGCAACCTAAGTCCACCCCCACCTTGAATTTCATTGATTCTTATATAATGCCTAGCAGGTGCTAATCATTAGCTCAGAATATCCATGTACATAGGTGTGAATAGCATTACGTCAATGTAATTGGACCTTCATGTGTGGACCTGATCTTTCCCATCTGACAAATCCTGAGTTCTCCTCGTTTAGCTCTGCAAGAACTGCTATCCCATCCCATCCATGTTGGAAGCACCAAGGTGCTTCTAGGGTGAAAGGAATAGTCAGTGACATCACTATTGCCCGGGGGATGCCCAGCTGGGGGTTCCTTTCACATTCCCATTAATGTGCCCACTAAAGTGGTACTATTTATCTACTCGAGTTTGCATGCTTTCAAACTGCTAGATGGGCAGGAGCTAGAGCAGACATGTCAAACTCGCAATGTCACATCACGTCGTGCAACATATCAGGACGGTTTTGCCATTGCTGGCAATGGGGTGCGCATGGCTTCCAGATGACGCATCCGGCCCGTGGGCCGGCAGTTTGACACCCGAGCTAGAGCAAATGATGGGAGCTCACCCTGTCATGCAGCAGCACTCAGGTCTCGAATGCAGACTTGCACATTATCAACTCAGCATTTTAATCACATGACCCACTGTGCTCCTTTAAGAATTGCTGGGAACTGGTGTCAGTGTTGAATCACACAGGCTTGAGAAATCACTAAGCAGAAATTTTAGATAGATTCCCATTAAAAAGAGCAGGGAAACTCTCATGACAAAAACGGACTTAATTTCACCAGTAAATTGGGGTAAATTAAGAGGAAAACAAAGCAAAACTATTAAGATTAATGCCAATTAAGTTTGAGATATTTAGTGGATCTACATAATTTTCAGACTAAATCCCTTGACAAGATGGCACTGACCTTTTGCTATAATCATTTCTTCAAGGTGAAACTTGAAGATTTAGCATAAAAACCCTGGCAAAATTAATGAATTGACTTAAAGAGATACTGTACAGCCTTTTCAGTTTTGGAAAGTTACATTAAGACATGTTCCATTGGTGCAACTTCATTGTGATATAATGAACAAACAGGATATAATCCTGATCTTGTGTTCTTAATTGATATAGCCCAAGTTAGAATCTAAAATAAATTAAACGTATACAGCAAGATATATTTTCTAAATTCATGATATATTTTCTGCAGGAATTTTTACTTTCACTTGCTGCAAATAATATGGGTTGAGATTATATCTTCCAACAATTCTCAGCCAAGATTAGCAGAGTGGAACCATCCCATCATTTATGATGCTGAATGGAGTGTGAGACCAGATCTCAATAAATAAATGTCAGTAAAGCTTGCCAGAAATAAACCACAGCAAGCTACAACGCCATTGTGCACATGGTAACATCATCACACAAATGTCATCAAAGATACATCTTAGTATCTGATGCAAATATGTATGACACTTGCATGATTATGTCAACGTTGATTTATTTATAGGGTTTGCAGGCCACTGCAGAAGCCAATTCCAAGATGCCTACAACTTCCCAAATCTGTACTTTGGGATTAAAAACGGAGAAATAATCACATACATTTAGGTTTTGTTATTTAATCCCCTTGGCGGACACCTACGATTGCATAACAAATTTAGCTCTTTGCCATTACAGTTCTATTGCAGAACATTCAGAGGGCTGTTTTCTGTTTCCCTCTTTTCTTCTCCATGTTTTAGGCTGCTAAATGGTAGCGTGGAGTTTGCACGATCGTCCTTTTGGAGCCCAGATACAGTAGTCTTACCCCTTTCTTGCTTTTTACTTTGAATCTTTGGAAGCAGAGAAATTCGGCGAAGTCAGAGGAGGGGTAACCCTGGCAGAGCTCGCAAGGGGCATTTAGCCAGCTTTAAGCGAACTATACGGTAGTTTACTCAATAACTCAAGCGTTAGTATCAGTATTTCTCAATCTCACAGTGCCGTTGAACCGCGAGGACGTCAATTCAGTCCAATGATCTTCAGCTGGGGAATTCTGGGAGTTGAAGTCCACACAGTTCTGAGATAGAGGAACACTGCTCCAAATTCTGGTTTCCCGCATCCTAAACTCGGCGCCCCGACTAAACTCGCAAAGCGGGCGAAGATGAAACGTGAACTGGATCGCCGTATAATAACTGGAGGCAGCCAGTACAGGGTCGCAAAAGGGCCCATTGCGAAACAAGGGAAGATTCGGAGGAGAGAGCATTCCACAGCACGCTCAACAATCGCTGAGGAATCTCACCGAAGCGGCTCCTTTCCAAAAGGCACTGAAAACAATCTCTGCCCCCACCCCTGGCTTGGAATCCCGCTCTTCCCGCCCCCCGCTGCTTCAGGACCCAATCGCTTTCCTCTTGCGACACCCACCCTCAGTCTGCTACGTTGGGCCGTTCTGCTGTCAGTCGCTTAGTCTCCTGTAAAGCCGGCTGCTTTCTGTTGTTCCGCCTTCTTCTGGTAATTCGGAGACCTCGCGTTTTTCAATTGGTTGTTTGCGCTTGTCAATCGTCTTTCGCCCGGCCCACCTCTAACGGTTGTTCCAACCGCTTCCTTTTCCCCCTTGTTAATCCCCTCCCCTTTTCCGAGTTCAGGCTCTGCTTCTGGCCCCGCCTCCGCTCCAGAGTCGGAACTCTTCTTGTCCTTGTTGCTCGAGCGTTTCCAGCAGGTTGTGCGCTGGTTCTGGAGTGGGAGTTTCGCCCTGTGCGCGGTTACGTTGCGCCGCGCCTGGCCGCCGGGGCTCCAGGAAAGAGGAAGCGGCGTCTCCCGAGCAGGAAGAAAGCAGCGCGGCGGCATGTTGGCCCGAGAGTCCGAGGGAGCTCCCGATGGGGGCTGAGGGGCTGCACAGCCCGGCCTCTCTGTGGCTTCTCCCCCAGCTCTTTGTTAAGCTCCGGCTCATCCCCGCGAGCTCCGGGCAGGGCGACTCGGGTGACCTTCTGAGAGACCAGCCCCACGCCGATTCCGCGCGCGCCGCTGCTAAAGTTTGCTGCTCGCGGGCGGGCAGCGAAGACGAGGCGGTGCAACTGCGGGGCGAAATAGAAACTTTTCCCCGGATTCTTGTTACTGCTCGGCGGCTCCGTTCTTGGGAAATCTGACTGACGCAGCGTGGTCTTTTTCTTCGAGAGCATCGGATTTGGAGCCTCCCTTTGCGACAGCATCGGATTAACAGCCTCCTGTCGAATCAGAAGCCCGTGCCCTGGAGGCTTCGCCCGCCTCCCCCAGGAATCTCCCAAGTTTGGACCCCTATTCGTCTTTCGGGCACCGGCTTAAGCGTCTCCTTTCCTTCTTCCCTGGGGCGAAGGAGGGGGAGATGTTCCATTAGGGGAGACCCAGGCGCGTCGCCGCTGCTTTTTTTGCTTTCAGTTTCCGGAGTGGATTTTATGCTTCAAGGAAGAAACGGGCCCGCCTGTTGTCTCTTGCGAGCCCCGCCATGTCGACGGCGATCACCGCCGCGGAAAAAGTGGATGGCTTCACCCGGAGGTCGGTGCGCAAGGCTCAGAAGCAGAAGCGGTCGCAGGGCTCGTCGCAGTTCCGCAGCCAGAGCAGCCAGTTGGAGCTTTTCCCGCTGCCCCAGCTCAAAGGTAATTCCCCGGCTGCACGAGGCGCAGAGGCGCGCTTGGCCTGGGGCTACAGGTGCCGGGGTGGGAGGGTGACTTTCCCGGGCCTTTCTCGAGTGGGCGGCTGGTGGAGCCCTGTAGTCTCGTGCCGCGATCACTCTGGGAGTGAAACGACCGCGCTCTTTCCCACCTTTTAATCTCCTTTTCTGTCAAGAAAAAAAAAAGGGAGACAGCTTTTCCTTTCAAACGCTTTGTCGGACGGGTCTTGCCTAAACATTTCACTGTTTTCACTTATTTCGAGAACCTTGCACTTGATATGATTAAGCGCTCATTTGGTCTGGTCTAAAAGTGTCCGCATTTCTTTTGATGGTTATACAGGTAGAAACAATTGTTATTCCGGTGGGTTGGGGATAAAAGAGGAACTGAATAGATTTTGGCTTTATATAGAGCAAAGTCTGCGAAGTTTGTTCAGAGTTCAAGCTGTTCTTTTTCTCCATTCTGCTTTAGAGATCTTGCACTTACTGTTTTCTTCCTGATCCTGCTGTGCAGCTGCTTCTGTTTACTTAAAAAAAAATCTAAAAAGCTTATTTGTCTTTAAAGCTGGAGCACTATGCTAGATTTAGTGCTGGAATTCATGTTCTAATAATTCATTAATTTTCTACAAGCTCATATAACTGTTTATTATATATTCCTGCACATTTCTTTATTCTTCCTTCATGGTTTATAGCTTGTGTAGTGTAAGACAAAGTATAATTTTGTACACTTAAGGGCCTAAATATGAGATTTTACTTCTAAATACCAGCACATATTTTAATTGAATGTTGAAGTAATTTTAATAAAAGAAATGTGAATTATATATTAAGTACTAAAATAGATGCCATATACTAATAGTATGTTTTATACTATACTGATATTCCTCGACTTACAATTATTTGTTTAGCGACAATTCAAAGTTACAATGCCACTGAAAAAAGTGGCTTGTGACCATTTTTCATATTTACAACCATTGCAGCATCCTCATGGTCATGTGATCAAAATTCAGATGCTTGGCAACAGACTTATATTTATCATGGTGGCAATGACCCAGGATGATGTGATCACCTTTTGCCAACCTTATGACAAGCGAAGTCAATGGGGAAGCCAGATTCACTTAACAACTTTGTAACAACTGTGGCAAGAAAGGCCATAAAATGGAGAAACACTCACTTAAGAACTGTCTCACTTAGCAACAGAAATTTGGGGCTCAGTTTTGGTCGTAAGTCAAGGACTGCCTGTAGTTCAGACTGAACATTTAAATATTTAAATATCTCAAGTACACACTTCAGTCTTTAGACTTTAATATATGAAACTAATACAGATTCTGTTGTATTTCATGAACTGAAACATTGTTTTGAATAATTTTATTGCTATATTATAATAGGTTATTTGCCATTATAATAATTTATATTTACTATTATGCTTTTTATACAAAGGCATATATAGAATAAACGGGTCCTCAGTGCTCTCTGAGCTTGGTTGTTTTCTTGCAAAGGTTTCATTATCCAAACTAGGTAACATCATCAGTGCTAGTATCTTACTGATATATAGAATCATAGTGTATGCATATACTGACAATTTGTGGATATGCATCAGAAGATCTGCAGAATTGGCACATAGTACTAAAAATGGAGTAGTTTTGATTTGGTAATCACTGTAAGAAGTTAATAAGATCTCAGTTTAAGTTTCATCAGCACTGGTGGTTTTACAAAATAGATTGTGTTTCCTAATGGGTACTTGGAAACTTCCATTTATTGTAAAATGTTGTTTTTCCCTCTATGCATTAAAGAAGTAATGGTAAAATATTTAAAATATAGATTTCATCTCTTTGTAGTGTGGGGGAGGAGCGTGTTTTCAGATCAGTGTTGACTCTTGCCTAGATAAGTCACTGCAGTTTTCTTGACAAAATTGTAGTAGTGGTTTGCTATTGCTTCCTTCCTAGGGCTAATAGAAGGAGTGAGTGCCCAAGATCACCCAGTTGGCTTTGTGCCTATGGGAGGACTAGAACTCATGGCGTTCTGATTTCTAGCTTGGTGCCTTTAACCATTACATCAAACTGCTCTCCATTACTCTCTTTGTAAAGTTTATTGTAATTATTACAGGATGTAACTCTCATTTAAATCCTGATAACATTATTGTGGAATGTTTACACTTTAATGTTGTGTTATCTATTGAGATGCATGCACTTTTGTTGTATATATTTTTTTAATTTGGGAGTTGACTGTTTTTATCTTTTACATATTAGCTACTAATAAAAAAAGGAAATAAATGATTGAAGAGTGGTTGAAGAGTCATGTAGCTGTTGTACCTCACTGTAATTTGCTCACCTATCAGTAGATTGAATAACATTAATATTTTTGACTGATTAAATATCTTTGGATTTATTCTATTGGAAAGTTCTTAATATTGAATTCAATAGAATAGAGCTGGAAGGGATCTTGGAGGTCTTCTAGTCCAGCCCCCTGCTCAAGCAGGAGAACCTATACCATTTCAGACAAGTGACTGTCCAGTCTCTTCTTAAAAATCTCCAGTAATGGAGCGCCCACAATTTCTGAAGGAAAGCTATTCCACTGGTTAATTGTCCTCACTGCTAGGAACTTTCTCCTTAATTCCAGGTTGCTTCTCTCTTTGATCAGTTTCCGATCATTGTTTCTTGTCCTGCCCTCTGGTGCTTTGGAGAGTAATTTGATCCCCTCTTCTTTGTGGCAGCCTGTCAAATACTGGAATACTGCTGTCATGTCACCCCTATTTCTTTTTTTCTTTAGACTTGTCAAACCCAAGTCCTGCAGCTGTTCTTCATATGTTTTAGCCTCCAGACTTTGGATCATCTTAGTTGCTCTTCTCTGAACTTTTTCCAAGGTCTCGACATCTTTTTTGCAGTATGGTGACTAAAATTGGTTGCAGTATTCCAGGTGTGGTCTCACTAGGGTTTTATAAGGCGGTACTAATACTTCATGTGATCTTGATTCTGTGCCTCTGTTTACAGAATCCAGGATTGTATTAGCTTTTTTGGCTGCTGCAGCACACTGCTGGCTCATAGTCAAGTGATCGTCCACTAGGGCTCCCAGTCCCTCTCACAGTTACTGTTTTTGAGCCAAGTCTCACCTAATCTGAACTTATATCTTTTTTTTTCCCTACCTAAATATAAAACTTTGCTTTTCTCCACATTAAAACTCATTTTGCTGGATAGGGCCCACTGTTACCGTTTGTCAAGAACTTTTTGAATCCTGAGCTTCTTGTCTTCTGGGGTATTGGCTATTCCTGCCAGTTTAGTGTCATCTGCAAATTTGATGAGTTCCCCTTCTATTCTCTCATTTATTCTTCCAATTTATATGATAGTTTACAATAAAATAAAAAGGTTTTATAATACATGATTATTTAACTTGTCAACCAACTATCAACATCTATACACACACACACACAGTTTTTCAGACAGACTGGTCTGATTGATTGCATCTTGGCATTTTGACTGCTATACATACATACATACATACATACATACATAAATGGATGAAAGCATTGCAGGCTGGCATGCTACAGAGGGACAGTAATTCTGTAAGACAGATATTATTCATAGACAAGCTGTGGCCTAATTAAATCTCCACCTCAGTTTCCCCGTTCTTCCTTTTCCTGAAGTTCCTTCAGTTCATAGAAATCCTTAGAAGAGATACTTATATCATTCTCAGTGAGTTCTTTGAAAGGAGCAAGATGGTGGTGATGTTGATACAGTTTCTGTAAAATTGTTTCTTCTTTTGTTTCTATAGAACTCAAGAGAGGTTGTTAATGGTTTAAAACAGCAGCTAGAGATTACACCACCAAACCAACATTTGTTTTACCTGAGTATGTTCTCTGTGTGTTGAGGAATCCATCTAGAACTTTTGTTTAACATATGGAATGATGATACTATTTTTTTGTCATTCTGATGTTTGTGCTCTTATTAGTTCCAACTGTTATATATTATTATACAAGTTGTAAAATAATGTCTTATAAATATTAACTTCGTTTGTGTTTAAAAAATAGAGCTGAAATGTAATATGTCCACTATTATAAATATTATTGATTTCATTGAATTGCATCTTTATAATGGACTATAAATCATGCTAAAAGATAATAATTGGGATTAATAAAATGTCAAGTTCTTCTCAAAAAATAATTTTTTCATAGATGCAGGAAAGACAGGCAACTGAGCTTTTTTAACCTGCTGTTTCCTGTAACGTAACTTACAGTTTAAATATGGAAAGAAATCTTGTTTGTGTTATGGCAAAAAGTCACAGTTTATGATGTATCTATTACATGCACCTCACCAGTCTTAGATAAGTTCTTCTACAAATGTTTCATATTGCCTTTTTGCAATCCTGAGAAAATGGTAAAAGCAAGGAAGATTATGAATTCTGCAGTTAAGTTTTATTTTCCCCACCCGGTGCTTTTCAGGTGTGTTGGAACTGTAGTTCCAGAATTTTAATTTAGACTCTGTTGGCTAAGAGTAATTCATAGTCCCAGCATATCTGGGTATATCAGCTTGATGTAGATTAACCTATGGAAGAAGGCCAAGCATCAAATTATGTTTATACATAAATAGTGCATTGTTACCTGGTTTGATAAAAATGGAGGAGATAGAATGAGGGTGCATGTTATGGATTTATTATAACAGAGCGAGTGAGTTTCCAAATATGGTTTTATTTTGTGACGTTGAGTTTTCTTAAGAAAGGTTTTGCTCTAACATGGATTTTGTTCTATGATCAACATGGCCTATTTTTTTCTTTTTATGTTCCTTTTTATGTTCAGAGTGCTGAATTTAGCCAGTGGGAATATGCATTGAAAGGAGAGTATTTTATATCAGTTGGAACTTTATTCTGATAGGGTACATTTTCTTTAACATCTGAGTAAAACTAAACTATTCTTACTAAGTGCATCATCTACATCTTCCAGATTTTTAAATCTGAAAACAATGCTGGACAACAAAGGCTTGTTCCTGAATACTTTTGAGT